AGAAATCTAAAACTAAGACGAGTGAGTTAGTTAGAGATATAGCTTTAGCGACACATTTTTATGTATAGTTTACAAAGATTTTATAAAGCACACTTAACTAACCTGACAGAGGATTATTTTTTTAAAAAAAAAAAAGAAATAAAATATTAATTTCTTAAATTATATCTAGAGAAAATAAATTTCAATAATAAGTAAATTAATATGTAAAATTTATTTAAATTGTAATTATTTCATTTAATATATAATAAAAATAAGTTATATTAATCTAATAATAGATTAAAAAAAATAAAAAATAAATAAAAAATACTATAATTAATAAATTATAATTTTTTAAAAAATGTTTTTTCTTAATATTTAAGATTATTAAAAAATTTTTTTATATTATAATTATAAACTTAAATTTATAATAATAATATAATGATTTATTAAACAGTATAAAAATTTTAAATATAAAATTTTTAAAAAGTTTTAATTTATGGTTTAATCGTATAAAATATACTGTATATACTGGTAATAGAATAATTCTTAATGATTACATAATATACTGTATATACAGTAAATAAAATTCCTGTTATAGGGATTTTTTTTTTCTTTTTAATTTCTTTTTTATATATATATATAATTTAAAAAAAAAGGTGTAATCATTACTAAATCAAGTTGGATTCCTCGCGTCATCAGTGCCGAGATGACGAATTCAAAACCATACACTTAAAATTTATATGAAAAAATCTCATCACCCAAAATGCAAATGGTGTCATCGAGCCATTAATAATTTACAATGTTACACTACCTTATGGCATTGCGTTTGATTATCTGAGATTTCTGTTCCTATTTGTTAAAAATGTCGCTATCTTCGATTGCGTGCTTTCTGAGCGTTCTCTTGTCAGCTTTTTTTTGCACAATATAAGTATCGATTGGTATAGATCATGTCCGAAACAATCATAATTTTTCAGACTTGATTAAAAAATGGCAAATACTCCTCACGGTGGTTTCCTCAAGGATGCGCATGCTCGGGATGCTCACAAGTATAATGAATTATTAGATGAATCCAAGACATTGCCATCAATAGTTTTAACAGACCGACAATTATGCGATTTGGAGCTTATCATGAATGGAGGGTTCTCACCTCTGGAAGGATTTATGAACCAAGGAGACTATAATCGGTAAGTTAACGGGATTAATGACGCTAACTTATTTATGCCTTATCTAATATACTTATTCCTTGTAACAGCGTTGTAAATGAACTTCGCCTAAAAAATGGTTGCCTTTTCTCTATGCCTATAACTCTCGATGTATCCGAATATGACATAAAATCATTAGGACTCGCACCCAACAAACGTGTAGTGTTAAGAGATCTTCGTGATGATGCGCCATTAGCCATCCTAACAATCGATGATATTTATCGTCCGAATAAGGAAGAAGAAGCCATAAAGGTCTTTGGCAGTAATGATGCCGCTCACCCTAGTATAAAATATTTGCAAACCAAAGTCAAGGAGTATTATGTCGGGGGGAATGTAGAGGCAATTCAGATGCCCTCGCATTATGATTACATCGCTCATAGACGTAAGTATTAGCCTCGTTTATAATTTTAATTTTACATTAAAAACTAAATTTTCATAACTACATAATTATATTAGTCACACCTTCTGAACTTCGTGCACACTTCAAGAAGCTTAACTGGATTCGCGTCGTAGCATTTCAAACTCGAAACCCTATGCATCGTGCACACCGAGAATTAACGGTCCGCGCAGCACGAATTCGCCAGGCTAACGTTCTCATTCATCCCGTGGTGGGTCTTACTAAGCCCGGAGATATTGATCATTACACGAGAGTCAGGGTTTATCAAACAATAATGAAAAAGTACCCTAATGGGATGGCTACCTTGAGTTTGTTACCGTTAGCGATGAGAATGGGCGGTCCACGAGAAGCCCTCTGGCACGCAATTATTAGAAAGAACTTTGGTGCTACACATTTCATTATCGGAAGAGATCATGCAGGTCCAGGAAAGAATTCTCAAGGTGTTGATTTCTATGGGCCCTATGAAGCTCAGGTAATTACACCAAAAACGTTTAAAATATCTATATATATCTACTTAAATTAATTTATTATAAATCTTGTGGTAATTAGGAATTAGTAGCAAAGTACTGCGACGAACTACAAATCGAAGTTGTTCCTTTCCAGATGATGACATATATTCCCGACTCGGATGAATACATGCCAGTTGATGAAGTGCCAGAAGGCACTCAAACACTCAACATTTCGGGCACGGAGTTACGACGTCGTCTTAGAAGTGGCGCACACATTCCTGAATGGTTTTCATATCCGGAAGTGGTGAGGGTACTTCGGAACACCCATCCGCCGCGATCAAAACAAGGATTCACGTTATTTTTAACGGGATACTATAACTCGGGAAAGGACTTAGTCGGAAGAGCGTTGCAAGTAGTATTAAACGAACAAGGCGGGAGATCTGTAAGTCTGTTGCTGGGCGAGATCGTGCGTAATGAACTTTCATTCGGTAAGTAATTAGCTGATGGTATAACTAAATGGCAAGTTATTATATAAATCCGATTTTATTTATTTTATAGAATTAGGTTTTTCAAGAAAAGATCGAGATTCGAATATAGCCCGTCTAGCATTTGTGTCCGGTGAACTTACAAAGGCAGGCGCAGCTGTCATTGCTGCACCAATTGCGCCATTTGCTGATGCTCGCGCACATGCCCGATCGCTTATTGAATCATACGGCGGATTTTATTTAATCCATGTGAACACGCCGCTAGAGTACTGTATTGCCACTGACCGAAAGGGTATATATAGGGTATGTTTTTCTTTAATCAAGTTTATGGCGGTGATAGGTGTATAATTTAATCTTAATATATTTATTTATTTTCTTTACTTTTTTTTTTTTACAGAAAGCACAATCTGGTGAAATAAAAGGATTTACAGGAGTAGATGATCCTTATGAGGTACCTACAGATGCAGACATCGTGGTAGACATTAGCAAGCAAAGTATTAGCGAGATTTGCCATCAAATTATGTTATTACTCGAAAAGGTATGTTGCGCAGACCAAAAAATCAAACTTTTATCTAAAGAAACTCATTGTTGACCCTCGCAATTTATGATTCCTTTAGGATGGATATATTGGTGAAAGATAGATTAGTCTCATTAGACCATCCTCACTATATCACACACAACTTAATATGCATATTCATACAATATAGACAACTTCACAAAATTTACAGAACCTTTGCGTTAATGAATCACTACATAATAGTATTCATGAAATCACAGTTTATATAAAGCGCTTCCAGCAATTGCAATAATAATGATGTATTTAAAAATTACCTTCATTAAAACCATATTGTAATTTTTAATCCTTTTGGATAAAGTAATTTATGTAAAGTTTATACATATTTTATTTTGTAATTTTTTAATAATAATAATTTGTTTTTTTTTTTATATATAAAAAATTATTGTTAAATATTTTAAATTATTTTTTAAAAAATTTTTATATAATAGAGTTTCAAGTTTTTAAACAAAGATTTTTAGTTCAAATCTATTAAAAAATGTTTTGCAAGTTGAAGTTACAAAAAAATAAATATATAGTAAATACTTGAAATATATGTAGTATATCAGAATTAGTAAACTTTAAGACAATAATTTAATATATAAAATAATTATCTTTAATGAAATTAAAACAAATTCTTTTATATATTTTAAACTAATATAAGCATAATAATAAAATTAAAACTATATATACTGTAAATTATAAACTTTTTTATTTTTTCAAAAATAATTCTCAATCAAATTAGTTGTATATATTTATTAAATAAAGTTAGTTATATATATATATTAATAATATATAATATGAAAATTAAATTCATAATTCTAAAAAACATAAAAAAAACTCTTTCCGCTGATCCACATTTTTTCAAAAAATTTCCTTTTTTGATAATTTTCTTAAAAAAATCACAAAAACTCTTTCACACAAAAACAAGCCTCAAAGGACACAACCATCTATTTCTAAGCAACAAAATCTACATTACAACAAATAAGAAAAGAGTTTCGCTTAGCTTGAAAGACAGATATTTCTAGGTCACTTTTGCTTT